CAGTTAGTCCATCAGTGTCTCCTTTCGTCTGTAACAACCACCCACCCAATCCCTTGGATCGCTCCATATTCTCTCTGCCTTTTTTGTCTATAGCTTTGTCTATCAATCAGGGCCGGATTAAAGGGGTGGCCAAATGGGCTGCGGCCCATGGTGGCAAATCTAAGGGGCGGCAAAAATTTGCAATTTTTAAAGCTTAAGAAAAAAAATCGTATTTATAAAAACAAAATTGCAAACGAGAAAAGGCGACAAAATCTCTCATTTCCTGAGAGTATAGTAATTTCTAATTTTGTCGTCTCTTAGTGATACAAGAGACAGCACCTTCAATAAGTCGAGTTAAGAGAGAGGGACCAAACACGCAATTTGGGCCTTAGAGAGAAATGATAACGAGGACTTGAGATAAAAAGGAGAAGCCCTCGGCGCGGCGATCGGCATGTAACACATATTAGCGCCTACAAGACTGCACGAATACTTCACGCATTGCATCAAACACAGTGCGGTCATTGCGGTCAGCGTGAAACGGATAGCGCCTACTAGACTGCGTGAATACTTCACGCATTGCGCCAAACACGGTGCGGTCTGCGCGGCGCGGCGGCGGAAGTCAAAATCATTGATCCACATTCATGTTTGTTCTTTCATAATTTTTTCATTCATTTCTTAAGAATGGAAGGCCTTGTCCACACAGAGATAGGTTTACGGAACTTAACTTTCACGCAAAGCTCCGTGAACTTTTGCTAGTGGTGTTGACAGGGCTTTCCCAAAAAATGTGTTCAACACGACTAAATGCGTCTTATGCACCCCTCCCCCGCTGACACGTTCATTTGATAGTTTTTATCGAGTTTCAAAACGAATGAGAAGGGGGCGGCAAAATACAGGCGGCCCATGGGTGGCATGTAGGTGAATCCGGCCATGCTATCAATTGCAAAAATCAGCCCGCAATCAAGCGAACGACCACTTCAGTCGAGCCAACCGACTGGATCGCTTCAATCGACAAAACTGATGGTTCAGCTTAAATCGATATGGAAAATCTCATGTGAACCAAAGCTTTTCAATTGATTGAACCTAGTCTTCACTTCATACGGAACTGAAGTTCAAGCTCAACCGAAACCTCAGCCTGTCTCCGAATAAAAAAAAAAAAAAAAACACCTACAGAACTTTCCGGTTCGTAAACCTACAACCAAGATCTTTCGTCGTAGTTGCACTTTTACCTCTGAGGCAAGTAACAATTATATTCCGTTTCAGGAAACAATGCCGCATAAACACAGAGGTGACATCGTAACCACTACGTGAAAATTAAGTAGAACTTTGAATCCACTATGAGTATTGTAAGAGTGACGAGTAACGAATATTTTTTCTCCATAAGAAGCATCACTCAACAGTTGGTTCCTTTCTCTGAATAATTGAGCATTAGGAAATACAGGAGGGGGCCAACCGCACTTCTTTTCCTGGGGTTCCTTCCCAATCACATCGTCGCCCTCTTGACATAAGGACATAGCTACACTTCGCGATCAGCCCTGTCGTTCATAAAACTCAATTATTTATCGGGCTCCTCTCCAATTGCAGTTACGTTCTTTTTGTCACCCAATCAGCGACGTGACAATCCCGAAGACAATAACGGAGGCAAATACTGCCATGCTAAGGAAAAACGCCGTATGAACCTTCTGGCGTTGCCAAATTTCGATGGATAAACACGAATTTCCTGGTAAACTCATGAATATTTTTCTTTCAATTTCTCGGATAATTTGGTTAGTTTGATCTGAAGTGTCTGAAAATTTCGAGGGAAAATATTCATAACTTTCCTCAAAAAGAAACGTTTTATTGAGGGAAATTTGGCAACTCTCGAATGTCCATACGGCGTTTTTCCTTAGCACGGCAGAATACCTGCGAACGATTTGGCATCGTCGAACGGCGCCCCCGCCGGCGAGCGAAAACCGCAAGCAGCTAGCACCGCTGGCAGCCAGAGCACAGTGGATCGAGTCAATTAGAGAGGTCGGACATGAAATTTTTGACAAAAACTGCAAATTTTGGTGTTTATTTCGTCACATTTCAAATTTCAAGGGGTGCCTATGGCAGAAAATTTCACGAAAAAACCAATGGATCCACTTTCAAAGACTCAAAATGTTATGTAAATGGAGTAATAGGCTTTTAAAATCTCCAAATTTTGTCCGACCTCTCCCATTGACTCGATCCACTGTGCGGAGGACCAAGTCACGATCCGATGATGGTCCCCGAGGAATGCACCAGATCAGTTACTCAACGTCCCCCATAACTTTCCAAACCCGGGACCCGGGACACGCCGCGATTTGTGATGGGTCCTCTCGGGCCTCGTAACCGAGATTTCATTTTCGGCTGTGACGTCACCGGAGGACCCGGAAAGCCGTCGTGCGAGGAAAAACCGTCGCGTCGCTACCTCTCAATGGAGATGTTGCATGTGTGAGGGATTTGCGATTTGACTGTTGTTTCTTGTGTTAAAGTTCGCGAGGAACACGATGGTGCCACTGGTTTTCTCTGAAATCATCTCCCAAGCTCAAAAAAAGCTCTCAAAGTGAGGCCAAAATGGAGGGGATATCCCGCCCTACCCTGAGAGGCCACCTCTACATTAAAACAAACTCTCCATGCAAAGATAGGGAGCAAATACATAAGCAGGGTTGTCGTGTTTTCAGTTTTGGAGTTCCCAAATGAAGTGGCAGCCCTGTCAATGTATTTACTCCCTATCTTTGCATGGAGAATTTGTTTTGATGTAGAGGTGGACTCTCAGGGTAGGGTGGGATATCCCCTCCATTTTGGCCTCACTTTGAGAGCTTTTTTTGAGCTTGGGAGATGATTTCAGAGAAAACCAGTGGCACCATCGTCTTTCTCGCGAACTTTTACATCAGAAACAACAGTCAAATCGCAAATTCCTCACACATGCAACATCTCCATTTCCATGTGAGCCCTGATGTCCATATAACTCAATGCTTCCCACGGTTCTCTTCGACGTTGAGATACGTCCTTACGCCAGATGAGCGACGAATTGAACGCTTAACTAGAATCGGCCTAACTGCAATAGTCTTTGCCTGATCTCTCCTCGTGTTTTATTCTCTTTTGACTGAAAACTAGACTGCATTCTGTTTTGAATGAAGGGGTATTGATAGAAGGGCCGTTTTTGGACCCGTCTGAAGTTTCTCAACTCTATGGTTTTTTGCTCATTGAGGGTCTATTTCTTATCGAATGCATCATAATTAGGTCGTTGTCGGTCTATTTTCAGGTTAAATACTGGCTCAATCATGAATCGAAGGCAGATTTTGATGGAAAAAGCAAGTTTAGAGATTTTGCGTTCGAATGCCGGAAAATCCGCATTTTTTTCAAAATCGGGCTTCAAGCTCACGTTCAGGCCATTGTTAGACATAGTAAGAGATCGAAAATGACCAAATTATGATGTACTCCGTAGCACGTTGACCTAAATTGAGAAAAAAGTGTAGAGTTGAGAAAATTCAGCTAGGGTGGGCCCAAAAACGGCTCTTATCGATAGGTCCCTTCTTATAGGGGTGAATTTTTAGAAATAAGCAGAACCAAGAAACCAAATGTTAAGTATAAGCTGCAACAGATTTTGTAGTCTTATCAGTATAAACTTTCCAAATAATAAATCCTCGTAAACTCTCTTAAATGTGTACGTCCTTTAAGTCGTAAAACCGTGTGGGGTTGAGAGTCAATAGATTCAGCTTTCAGAGGAAGGAAAACACCAGAATTGAAAGTTGCGTGGCAATTGATATGACTTCACTACAGTGATAAAAAAAAACGCCGTATGAACATCTGAGAGTTGCCGAATTCCTCCAATAAAATGTTGATTTTTGAACAAAGTGAATATTTTTCACATTAAGTTTTAGACAATTTAGATCTGATTGTAAAAAAAATTCTCCGGAAAATTGGAGAAGATCTCTTCACAGATTTTTTCGAAAATCAGTATTTTAACAAAGAAAATTTGGCAACGTCTGAAGTCTCACAAGACGTTTTCCCTCAGCACGGTAGATAGATGGTCTAGTCTTTTTCATTAATTACCTTTAAATTAACCTTTAAATTACGATTTTCAGTGCCAGAGTAGTATTAAAAAAGACGGAGGAGTGAACTACTTACACTCCACAACGAAAAAAACTAGGTATCAAGATGGCAGGGGGAGGGGGGAGGGGCTATCCGACGTTGAAATGTGGATGCTCACAGTTTTTATGCCTAGCTGGGCAGTAAACCTTGGCGATGTCATAAGATTGGAGATACTAAGTGCACTTCGTCGACACGGTCATGCATTTGTCTGTCTCGAAAAACCTTGGCTTCCCGACCAAAATTAACTTCAAACCTATCAGGGATCGAATCAAAGATTAACGTGGACGGATTGTAATTAATGGCACCATCACAGCAAGATTAACTTCGTTGGTGTCGCCAAGAACGACGTTGATAAAATGAAAAAGTGTTCTTTTATTGTTTGCGTGTCCTTAAATTTAGGAAAAGTAGTTTGGTAGCACTAAGCGACTTTACTCCCTCTGAAGCCCAGTTTATTCTCCTCTAATTAATAAATGAACATTATAATACTGCGACTTTAAAGTTTGGAACATAAAGAAGGGTCCTCCTCATCCGTTTCATTTTGTCTTCTATTTTCGAAACTTTCCGTATCCTCCCTCTCCGGTCTGTTTCATTTTTTATCGTAGATTCAAAGGTGAGGATGGCCCCTCGACTATTACTTGAGCTTGGACGATGGTAAATTTTTTATTAATTTTTTATTTTACTGAAATTGTTGCGTAAAGTAAGTAAATGATGCTAAAATGTGTCTAGTTTTTAAACGGTTTGTGGAGCTTCACCTCAAAATAAAAATAAAAAACTGTTTAAATTAAACTACAATACTGAGCTACATTTTTACTAATAATTGTCATACGAATCTTCAGACCATGCTCTTTGAATACATCATTGACTGAATTATCCTAATCATTTTTCTTAACATTTTTCAATTTTCTTAACAATTTTCGCTTTATAACAAGCTCGGCATGTAGGAGTTTTGCCTAAATCGCAAAATCTAGTCTTCGGTTGAAATTTTTTAAAGGATCTTACCAAGGCAAATACGCTTGAAGATCGCGTTTTTACGACAGGCAAGGATCCTCGCATGTGGAAATGAAAATGAATGGGGAAATGAAAACAGACAGGTGTTCCGATTGGGTGCAAAGACACGAAAATACTAAGCGTGCTTGTAACAGCTCAAAAATCAGTGACGGATCATCAATGACGTCTCATTAGCAGCGCCCGCACACGTCAAACGCCGCCACAGGTGGCGTGACGTGAATGATCGATTATCGATATCTCGCCATTTGAAGCTATGGTAAAGAATCGATTATCAAGGTGTTCGCTGCGAACATCCTGATAATCGATCTTTTTTCATAGGTTTAAGTGGCGTAGCAATCGATATATCGTAAAGGACGCCACGTCACCCTATGTGCTTCGGAAAATGCTAATGATTTTGTGAAGCTGGAACATAGGACTTGACATGGGACATATACCTTCATGGTGGTCCTACTCTCTCTCTATCTTTTTCTGGACTTCAAAAGTTGACATGAAAGCAGTAAACAACTTTAAAAATTTGTCCTAAGTTAAACTATCTCTTGATTGAAAGTTGGAACTCTCTTTCCACTATTTGTTGTAAAACTTAGGTTTCTCTTTCTTTCTCTATTTTTTCCCCTTTTTTGTCTCCTTGTGTCTTGACTCTTTGTTTCATCGAGTGAAAAAGAAAAAGGGAATCTTCCAGTGGCAACAGCTTGTTAGCTCTCGCTGTAAGGTGGTCCGAATCAAAATGACTCTCGCTCTAAGAGTGAAAAGCGTGATGCAACTATTTTGACTTCTCTGTACCCTCTCTTACATAACCGTAGAAATGAAGGCGCACTCAATTTCTCTCATTAGTGGATGATAGAGAAGGATCGAGGAGGCATAGTAGGAGATCCTTCACATTTTCTCCTACATTTCACCATTCCAAAATTTAAACTCGCCGAGTGTATTTTTACAAGGAGACTGTTGAGAATTTCTGACTTAGGATTTCACTGACTACTCTTCTGACTACACACAAAAATTAGCAAACTTATGGACAGAAATTTCACAATCATAGATCTGTAATAAATTTGGCCCAGGTCAATTTTTAACTTATTGGAATAGAGTTACGCACTCTCTTCTAAGAGACGAGAAATATAACTGGACACCGAAAAAAAAATGTTGAATACATTTTTTCGAATTGAAAAGAAAGAATTCTCTTTGATTTAGAAAAAAAAAATGTTAGAGTCGTTGAATTGAATTTTTTGAAGAAAAAAAGATTTTTTAATGAAAGATTTTTTCAGGAAAAACTCATTTGACTTGTAACCTCAACGATGTTTTCTTAAAATCAAAGAAAATGGTGTCTTCATCTGAAAAATGTTTTTCAACCATTTTTTTTTTCTGTGCGCAAGTTGATGGAACGTGGCACACCGGAGACCTACACTGCCGTGCCAAGGAAAAACGCCGTATGAGCCTCCAGATGTTGCCGAATTTCCTTCGACAAATTATGAATATCCGGGAAAATTTGTGAATATTTTCCTTTCAACTTTTCGGATAATTTTGTTCGCAATTTCATCCAAAGCTCCTGAAAATTTCAAAGGAAAATATTCATAACATTCTTCCAAAATAAACATTTTATCGGAGGAAATTTGGCAACTCTCGAAATGTTCATACGTCGTTCTTCCTTAGCACGGCAGTACACTCCCCCAATATAGTTACCTGACCACTCTGAGCTGCTCCCGTTCCCATCAAACCCCAACCGACACAAATTAATTAAAAAACAATCTGGGTATGCCACATAATCTCGGGAGAAAACATGGCCGTGAGGACTAATTATCTTTCGAGCTAATTGAATGGATTAAAATGGCAACTGTGAAGTGAGCGACTGTTGCGTGAATGTAAGTATTACGACTGTTACGGGGGTCGCAGGTCGTGTCCAATCCCGGTTTCCGTTCGGCGCTCGGATGAACCGTACTTGAACACGCCGCGCGCCACTCCAGCTTGTAGCTTGTCTCCAGTATCCTGCCTCCTCTCCAAGGAAAATCCCTACCGTGTCGACAACCCCAGGATTACAGCACAGCTCAGAGCTGCATTTTATTTTAATCCCGGGACTTCCTGGACGGAGCGATCGATATCGTCTTCCAATCCTTCTGCGCGGGCTCATTATTCTGCCGTGCTAAGGAAAAAACGCCGTATGAACCTTCAGGCGTTGTCAAATTTTCTCTGGCAAATCACTAACTATCGGAAAATTTTTGAATATTTTTCTGCCAATTTCTTACATGATAATTCTAGCTGGAGCGCAATTCAGCTATACATTCACCAATGCAAAATTGTCGAAGGAAATCGACAAGCCCAGCGTGCATGAAGGCTATTTCCATTTTAATCTTCCGTCACATTCTTACAGCGCAATGATACAACTATTTGAACTCTCCGGAATGCGTGAGGTAGCACGCCGCATTTGAAGGCGTTTTCAAAACAGCCAGGTTCCGATACCCGGATTATCGTTTTGCATAGTTCATATTATTTTGTTTTCATTTCTAACCACTTGTTTATTTTTAATCCTCGTATAAAAACCACCCATTTGCGAAGTACAATTCTATCTGAAGCGCACTTAAGCTATGCACTCATGACTGCAAAACTGTGAACGGAACTCGAAAAGGCCAGCGTGCATTAAGGCTTTTTCAATTGTAATCTTCCGTCACATTCTTACGGCAAAATGATACAACTATTTGAACTCTCCGGGATGCGTGAGGTATCACGCCGCATTTGAAGGCGTTTTCAAAACAGCCAAGTTCCGGTACCCGGATAATCGTTTTGCATACTTCATATTATTTTGTTATATTCCGTACCACTTGTTTATTTTTAATCCTCGTATAAAAACCACCCATATGCTAAATACAATGTTTGTAATTTTTTTTAAGGGTCTGAAAATTTCAAGGAAAAATATGCACGATTTTCCTCCACAATAAAACTTTTGTCGTAGTAAATTTGGCAACTCTCGAATGTTCATACGGCGATCTTCCTTAGCATGGCAGTATTGACGTTGATAGACAATGGAGATGTAGGGAAAATCGAGCGATCCGGTTGGTTGCAACGCGTGGTTATAACAGACGACACTCCGAGGACTCTATCGAAACAGCGAGTTACTTATTGAAATTGATGGGCAAAACGATAGAAAAGAAGATAAAGGAAAAGGAAGCGATCCTATGGCGGAAACTAAAATATAATATCTCCCTACGCACAATCAAATAGCGAATCTTAGCAGAAAATTTGCGCGGTAGAAGAAATTTTGACAAAAAAAATCAGCGCAGTCGAAGTGAAGTACGAGCAGTCTCGGTAATATTAACAATACATTAGCGCAGTTATTTACGCAAGAATCAGTGTGAGAGTTGTAAGTTATACATTTTTTATTTTACTATGAAAATCAAAACACTTGCAGAGTTTTCAGCGAAATGGCTGCATTTCTGCTACTTTTAATTAGTTGACGCCACGAATTTGAATCACAGCGCGGAAAAAATGCGCGCACCATAAATAGCGCCTTCGACATCGTAGGAATACTTCAATCACTACACCGTTGCACACACGTTTCATTGTGCAAATTACGAGTACCGCGCTTGCCGGAGTGCACAGGGGGCTGATCATTGAAATTGATAGACAAACATATGGATAAAGAAGACAAAGGGGAAATGGAGCGATCCTATTGCTGGAGACGGATGATTGCAATGAACGAAGGAGGTATAAAGTTATAGACTAACGGCAACCCACGAGAAACCCTACTGTTAGTTAATGATTTTCCGCCGTAGTCTACTTTTGGTCGAAACGGGCGGTTGTCGTAGACTAAGTTGGAAAATTATGGACTACTCAAGGTTCCCTGTTGGGTTGCCATTAGTTTGTCTATTCCTAACCTCCTTGGTTCATTGCAACCACCCGCATCTGCCAATAGGATCGCTCCATTTTTTCTTTGTCTACTTTGTCTGTCGTTTTGTCTATCAATTTCAGTAATCCCCGCTGATGCAAGTAGGCTCTCCGCTTCAATCCGCCCGTAAAACCAAATTGCATTTTATATAGTTCCATGAAATTATGCATCTCTGTTTAGTCGTCACTCGCTCTATTGACGTGAGGTTGTGTTCAAATTTTCGCATGAGCCCCAGAAAGCATGAATTAATATGTGAATCAGAGCTGACGTGGAAACTCAGATACGCCCTTACGACGACTAGTGTAGACGCTCCGACGAGAATACTGCCTTGCTAAGGAAAAACGTCGTATGAACCTTCAGGCGTTGCCAAGTTTCCCCCGATAAAAACCAAAACTACTGAGAAAATTGCGAATATTATTTTCCGAAAATTTCAGATAATTTTGTACGCAAATTCAGCTAAAACATCTGAAAATTTTAAGGAAAAGTATGCATGAAAGTTGTCAAAAATACCTGTTTTATCGGGGGAAATTTGGCAACTCTCAGATGTTCATACGGCGTTCTTCCCTAGCACGGCAGAATATTGCCGTAGGAAAAACGCCGTATGAACTCTCGAGAGTTGCTAAATTTCCTTCGATGAAATGTTTACTTTCCTTTTAATTTTCAGAATTTTTAGGTGAAATTGCAAACAAAGTTATCTGAAAAATTGGGAGGAAAATATTCATAATTTTACCAGGACATTCGCGTTGTATCGAAGGAAATTTGGCAACGCCTGAGGGTTCATAAGGCGCTCTTCCCTAGCACGGCAGAATAGGAACAAGTGCATAAGAAACTGGGAGGAAAATTTTACCAGGAGATTCGCGTTGTATTAAAGGAAATTTGGCAACGCCTGAGGGTTCATACGGCGTTCTTCCCTAGCACGGCAGAATAGGAACAAGTGCATAAGAAACCGGGAGGAAATGCGGACGCCATAGATGATACGGGCGCCATTAACATGAACTTGAGGCGAATCCGCGGATAATTGCGAAAAATCGATGGGTTAACCGTAACGCA